CTCACAAAGTTGAGAGAGAGAGAGAGAGAGAGAGAACATCGCAGCATGCAATCCGCTTCGGCAAAGCATCTCCGGATCACTAAGGAGCATTTATCTGAATTATTCAACGTCCACATCAGGATAAAACTCAAGAAAGTGAAAGCATTTCAGTTGTTTTTTTTTTTTGTCAGAAAAGCATTTCAGTTTTAGTGCACTATTTTACTGCTTGCAATGTCACTCATCTCACGTTTTAGATGACTAGAGTCCCAAAAAGAATGTTAAAGCATGGCACATGTCTTCTAAAAGGCAATTTATATGCTCTTTATATTATATGTAGTCTCCATCTATCTATAAGTTTGAAATTTTGGATTTAACTTTTGGATTTAACTTTTTACAATAAAGAAGGGATTTGTCTTTTACTTGCATGAATCTTGCCGATTTTTTGGTCAAAACCTAACGCATAGATACCTTTGCATTTTATAATTCTTGCCTCCAAAGCTTCTTGTCTCTTTTTGAAAATTCTTATTCTCTCTGTCCTCTTCTTGCAGATTTCACCAAATTGATTCTCCTTAAATCCCCATTGTAGATCACTTTATGTTCTTCATCTGCAAAAGAGTTCCTTTTTGTTAAGCACGAGTCAACACAGGACCATGATGATTTGGTCAAAGGAAGAGTTGATCTTCTTTGTGAGGAGCTACTGCGATGTCCTCTTTGCTGCCCTGGTTTCAGTTGGGTTCATGTTTTATTTCTCAGCAAAAGCCAAGAGGATATCTGGTGAGAGAGACCAAATTCCTGGTAGAGTGGGAATACCATTCGTAGGAGAGACCTTCTCTTTTCTCTCAGCCACCAACAGCACTAAGGGTTGCTATGAGTTTGTGAGACTCAGGAGACTGAGGTCAGTGATTCTTCTTCTTCGCATTTTGTTCGATTTTTCTTTTGTATATCATCTGTATTGTCATGTATTTTTTTGCCACTAACTTCTTCGTATATTGTCGTAATCATCCAATTTAGATCATGTTGATCTTTTTGGTTCATACTTGGTCCGGTATGTATATCGATCTCAAATTCAACTAAGACGGATCTTCTGATGAAATCATACCTAATACTGTCAAAACTTGCATACTAGTTTAACTCTGACGTTGTAGACACGATCCTTCAATGTGAATATGGAGGTTTCTTAATCTTTAAAATTCACATCAGCCATGTTATGAAGAAAAGCAATGGGAAACAAGGAAAACCGACATTAATTTCGAATCATATGAAGTGGGAATAATACTAGCCAATGATTTGATGCCTCCGGGCTTACCGATGCCATATTTACTATCCCTTTGTTTGTGAAAGTGTAGGTACGGGAAATGGTTTAAGACAAGGATATTCGGGAAGATCCACGTGTTTATTCCAAGCACGGAGGGTGCGAAAAAGGTGTTTGTGAACGACTTTGCGCATTTCAACAAGGGGTTTGTGAAGTCCATGGCTGATGCAGTCGGAGAGAAGAGCTTGCTTTGTGTGCCACATGAGAGCCACAAAAGGATAAGGCGTCTTCTGTCCGATCCTTTCTCCATGCCTTCTTTGTCTAAGTTCGTCCCCAAGTTCGACAAGATGCTGTGCCAGAGATTGAAGAAGCTAGAAGAACATGGCAAAAGCTTTGTGGTGCTGGAATTCAACATGAAGGTGGTCTGCACGACAACATAAATCTCATATATTCCACAAACTATATAATCGTTTCAATCTACCAAAGAGTCCTTATATCATAAACTGATAGAAAGACCAATGCGTCAAGCGAGTGACAAGATTCATTAGTCAAAAGGTTCACAACGTATCGTCGTAAATGGTTCTTGCCAATTTTGACAAACAGATTGCGTTTGATGCGATGTGCGAAATGCTGATGAGCGTGACAGAGGAGTCGATGCTGCAACAGATAGAGAGGGACTGCACGGACGTGTCCAACGCCATGTTGTCCTTCCCTGTCATGATACCGGGCACTCGATACTACAAAGGAATTAAGGTAACACATGTTTTTTGAGTCCTTCATGCATAGTAAGACTAGGAGGAAGAGCTAGGGCTGAGTCATGAAAGCAATATATGGCGCTGTGGAAGATGGTAGATGGACCCAACTGAACAGCAGAGAGCCACACCTCTGAGAATAGACTCTGTCTAGGAAATGAATTAAATTCTAGAATTTGAAACTTCTTCGTGACCTTAGAGGTTGAGAGGGAAGTCATGTGCATCCTTTTTCTTTCTGGCCAAAAGAACATCAGTACTACTTTCATTACATTATATCATTCATTAGCATCCTTAAGGAAGAAAACATTTCAAAAGAAAAAAAAAAAAAAAAAAAGAGAAGAAGAAGAGGAGGAGGGAAGTCCAGTTGACTCAAGTCACACTTTCTGAACTACATTGACCAATGCCTTTGTGGGGGGGGGGGCCGAGTTACTAAGACTGGACTGGTCGATGACCTATTCCAATTCAATCGGCTGACATTAGTATGTCAACGGGCAATTTTTTCCTTCGAAATATATAAAAAAATCGCAAAAAAAGAAGAAAGAAATTCAAAAGAGAGTTAGAAAAGTACTGCGTTAAGTTGACTCATCAAGATACTTAATCAGACTAAACCTCGTGTATATCACTGAATTCGTTTGTTTTCACGATCTCGTCCAGCTTGTCTTCCTGGTAAGAATATTTGCTCCTACTTTGGCATTTCTGAATGATTTTGTTGAAAACAATTTAAAAAAAATTTCAATCCAGTTATAGTAGCCTGCCATTCGAAACCCAAAATTGCATTTACAATTCCAATTAAGATACAAAAGTAAAAGAGACAAATAGGATATGGTGAAATGGTTGATGCAGGCAAGAAATAGGCTGATGGGAACATTCAGAGGAATGATAGAGGGGAGAAGGGGAAGAGGGAAGGGAGCTCCCGAGGACTTCCTGCAGTCGATGCTGGACAGAGATGCATTGCCTCCTGAAGAGAAGCTGGATGACTCGGAGATCATGGACAATCTGTTGACCCTGATCATTGCCGGGCAAACCACCACCGCAGCTGCCATTATGTGGAGCGTCAAGTTCCTGGATAAGAACCCAGTCGCTCAGGATAGGCTCAGGGTGAGTTTTGAACGGAATCGAATATATGCTAATTTGCAAATCCTTTTCGAACCGAAAGCCGAACCAAACTGAAGAGATTAGACAGCCAAATGAACCAAATACTTAAGTTGGATCCGGATGAGACACCGCAGATATAAGTGAATGCCTTCTATGTGGTCCTCCAAAGAAATACTTGCTATGTCACTTATAAGTTTCACTTTTTAACTTTTGAGAGAGAGAAAGAGAGAGAGAGAGAGACTGGTATAAACTAGCTGAACACTAAACTGATATGAAGATGAATTTCAGGAAGAGCAGTTGGCTATTCTGAGGAAGAAACCACAAGGGGCTGCTCTCACTCTTGAAGATCTCAACAGCATGTCATATGGCTTAAAGGTAAGAATCTCCCTATCACATGCATGTGCGCAGATTTTGTCCTCCTGTGTCCACGAACGAAGCGGCGTATGTGATCAGAGCAATGCTGACATTTTAATGAAATTCCAGGTCGTTAAAGAGACGCTTAGAATGTCAAATGTGCTCCTGTGGTACCCTCGGGTGGCACTCAAAGACTGTACTATTGAAGGCAAGTCAGACGTCTCTTTCGTGGAGAAGCTTTTACTTGAAAACTATGCACTAAATCATCTGTGAACATGCAGGTCACAACATCAAGAAAGGATGGCATGTAAACGTCGATGTGACTTGCATTCACTATGATCCCAGCATATACAAGGATCCCATTCAATTTAACCCGTCGAGATTTGATGTAAAGATGCCATCTTCAACGCCTCTCGTATCTCTCTCTTGTAATTTCCTTGATCAGTATAACGGATGAGCAGTTCAAAGCTCTGAACATAGTTTTACGTGCTACAATTTCAGGAAATGCAAAAGCCATACGGTTTCATACCTTTTGGATCAGGACCCAGAACATGCTTGGGAATGAACATGGCAAAAGTCACCATGTTGGCCTTCTTGCACCGGCTGACAAGCGGATACAGGTACGTTTATCTGCAGCTCTGCTAAACAATGGATCCTTCCAAAATTTCGTTGTGTAAACTCGTTCTAAAAGATTCAGCCCATCACATATCAATAAACAATGGGGTCCACCCAATAAAAGAAAATGTTTCCGCGCACATCCTTCAGTATGATCGGTTCTGTCTACCGTAACAATCATTCATAGAAGAGATTTTGACAATATTATATGACCCCTTAAATTAGCCAAAAGAACAAAAGAAAATATTTATGAATATTAGAAGAATCATCATCCTCATTGCAAGAAATTTGATTTGCTCTCCTTACAGATGGACAGTTGATGACCCAGATACCAGCTTAGAAAAGAAGGCACATATTCCAAGGCTGAGGAGTGGCTGCCCCATAACCTTGAAGGCAATATGATAGAGAAGGAGAAGAAAGATGGCTTAGAGAATCCTTGTGATGATGTGGAACAACAAGTGCCTACCATGTTGTATCAGCAGATAGAATAAGCTGAAGCTCCAGATTTGAAAAGAAATAAAACAATTTGGTGATATTTGTAGGTAACAATCAGTGAAAACTTATTCCCACGACGAGGGCTTTTATGTCAATCAAAAGATCTAATTTCAGTTCAGAGAACAAATCATAATCAGGTACCCTTAGCCTTTTTCTGCTGGCGCTGCTGAGGAACATCAGCTCACTAGAAGTAAGAACAAAACTGTGCTTGCTTGTTGTGTCAAAAGAGAAAAGTCTACGAACTATGCTGAAGCGAAAGGAAGTGACAGGAGATCAGTCCCGCTGAAAGTGTCTCCTCCATTTTGACAATTTCAAAGGGAGACGAACTTCAGGAAAGCAGGAAAACAAAGATGCTAGAGTAATTTCCATTTTCAATCAAAATGGAAGAAATTCACCAGCCTTCAGATATGCATGATTAATATAAAGTAGCAGTCAGCATCCTCAAAAAACTCTCAATCTTGATAAAGTGGGATATAATTCATTATTCAGCCACAAAAAAATTTGCCAATCAATTTATTGTTAAAATCATAGTACTCAGATGTAGGGAAGTACAAACTTGTAATTAACATCTTAGTACACAGAGTGATACGGTGAACCTCACTTCAGGGATATCAATTTGTATTCTTGGACTGTGCTTTTAATTGCTTGTTCAACGGGTAGCCTCTCCATGCTCGATGCACCATAAAACCCATGAACTCCCTCAGTGTTCTTCAGTATGAATTCTGCCTCTTTTGGACCAGATATAGGACCTGAAGATTCACACCAAAATTCATTCACTTTTTAGCGATGTCCAGAACTATTGGATGATCAGGGGCAGTAGAACGACTAATATGACTACTCACCCAAGGTGTAGATGAGAAAATAAACTATTTGAGGCAAAATAAGCAAAGTACACAGAGTGTTCCAAGACCGAAGCAAGAACAAGTAATAGCATTTGATGTTTTAAATCAATGACAAAGTAAAAATGAGCTACAAAAGAACTCAAGCAAAACGAGTGAAAGAACCAGAAAACTCAAAAGGAAGAAACAAAGATAATGCAGGAAGAATTAAGAACACCTAGAAAAGAGAACTGACGAACAGCACACATCTCTCCAATCATGCTGAATGAAAATTACTCTGAGGTGCCTGGAATGATTTGGATAATGGTTCAACCATAAGAAGTTGGGCAGTAGCAGAGTAAAGACAATGCCAGTCATAAGAGAGATGCAATCAGAGGTGATGAAGGAACACAGCACAGAAAAGAAGTAAGAGATGCTTTCACGATATACCTCCATGGCATAAGACGATAGCATGGGAATTGATCCTATGTGCGGCATTTGCAATAGCTTGTACACGAACTACACTTTCCTCCAATGTGAAAGCACTCTTTGCACCTATTGAACCAGCAGTTGTGAGGCCCATATGAGCCACTATAATATCAGCTCCAGCTTTTGCCATTTCTGCAGCTTCATCTTCGTCAAAAGCATAAGGAGTTGTTAATAGACCCATTTTGTGAGCTTTTGCTATCATCTCAACTTCCAAGCTACAAAGAGCAAAGAGAGAAGCTGCTCATTAAGCCATAAGGGATCGAGTTGGAGTAATAAGAGATGTTATCTGGGAAAACCTACCCATATCCCATTCCTGTTTCTTCCAGATTCTGTCTGAAATTGCCATCAAAAAGCCCCACTGTGGGAAAATTTTGCACCCCAAAAAATCCAATGGACTCCACTTGCCTTAGGAAGTTATCCATTCGACGGAAAGGGTCGGTTCCACATACTCCAGCAAGAACAGGTACTGCCTTCACAACCTACGTAAATATATACTCCATATATGATGGGAACTATTTCAAGAAAGTAATTAAAAAACTAAATTTAAGGGCGAAGCATCCATTAATTCATTCAAGCATATTATCTGGAAGAAAAGTAAATATAACCATGGAGGAACATGCTTTTCCAATATCAACAGATGTAAAAGGGGATAAATTAGATATTTTCAGATAGCACAGGCATGGATAGATATCAATTATGCAAAATTTTGAAAATTCTCCAAGCACGGCTGTCATATCTAGCACCGTCCTAGGTTGTGGCTTCACAAGGAAACTCGTGAGCATGTGAAGGTTTTTTCCTAACCAATCCACCTTGACAAACTTCACTCATCCATCTCAATTTTTCCAAATATCCCTGTAACTGAAAGAAAATACCCATTGTGAGATGCAAAGTGTCCATCTTTACCACTTTGCCTTTATTTATATCCGCATCCCCCCTTTCCTGCTCAGTGGCTTAGACGAGATATAAGACAAGTTGTGAATAGAGGAACAACAACAACCACCAAGGTTATCCCACTAAATGTGGTCGACTTGGTAGATCCTCTTACGCTGTTCAACTCCACTTCACATTGAGTCTATAGAAAGATCCACATACTAGAGAATCACATTTTCATCATAATCTCTTCTCACATTTTTTGAAGATCTTCCCATTCCTTTTGATGTGCGTCTCAATGAGAGAGTCACATATTCTCACCATAACATCCAATGGCTATTGTTATTTGTTACACATACAGACCACCTCAAACAGTTTCTCTCATCTTGTTCTCCATTGCAAATCCACCAATTAGACACACTCATCTTGCACCATATCTTTTCCATGAGTGGCCATACACAATGTAAAATTTTCATCTTCCCAGCTCATTTTATACGTATATTGGTGCTTAACCATCCAACCTCATGCGCAATGCATCCTCATCCCATTTGCCATCTTACAGAAGGCATTCTATGATCGCACAAGACGATAGATGCGCTTATCTACTTCATTTTGTTTTCCAGTGAGATCTTCATCATTTTCTCCATTCTTTTGCAAGATAGGGTGAAGAAATGGAATTATCCACTCTTTGGTAATAGAAGAGACATTTGGCGATAAGCTTGTGCTTGTTCGGAGAGATAATCATAAATGATTAAAGTGTCGTTTATGAAACAAAAAATATTCCGCGAGAGCTGCTCCTGTATAAGGAGCAAGGTATTGTAACGTAGCTATGAAATCCGCTGTTTCGGCTACCACAATAGTGAATTCTCTAATAGCCATATAAACACATATTACATTTTGACCTTGTTGATTGAGAATCGTATCCACGGCCACTGCTGTTTAACCGGTCTGTCTATCCCCAATAACTAATTCTTGCACATTTGTCTCCTATCCTTTTCTGTTTAGCGATGTGCATACAAGAAAGGTTACAGTAAAAGAATACAACGATTCCATATCTTAATTGCATTCTCCAATTAACTTTGTTTTTTCCTTTGAAGATGTCTTCGGGGTTAGTGCAGTTTTAGAAGGCAATAATAGAAAAGTGAAAAACTTACATGTTACTTGTTAGAAGTAGTAAAAGGGTAAAGTGGTCCTTAGGACCTTTAGGTCTATTTTTTGGTATATGTCTTGGACACTAGTTGTAAATACATGACAAGCTTTTCCCTTTCTCTCTCTATTTCTCATGGTATCAGAGCCCCGACCCTAGCCGCTGCCGCCGGAACAACCCGTCGCTGGCGCCGTCGCCGGAACAACCCGTTGCTGGCAACCCCAGCTCGCAAGGGGCTCCAGCCGCACGACCCAGCTCGCGCGGGGCTCCAGCTCGCGCGACCCAGCTCGCGCGGGGCTCCAGCTCGCGCGAGGCTCCAGCTCGCGCGATTCAGATCGTGCGAGTCACGCGAGCCTGGTGATTGGAGGTTTCCTCGCCATTGATGTGAACTGAAGGTCTCCTTGGCTCCGTGAACTGAAAGTCTCTCCCCCTCTGTTCCTCCTTTGTTCCTTTGTTCCTCTGGAATTGCTTTATGCAAGAAATTTGTGAAACTAGCCAGTAGTTTCAGCATGTGTTATTGTCCCTGGATGGAATGACAAGCAAATGAAAATTCTTCAAGATGGATTTCAAGCTGGTAGGAAGGTGTTCTTAGCCTTTTCATAGTTGCCTGCAGTGGTTTTGTTGCTAGACTATGCTGTCGTTGTTGCCTTGCTTGCTTTTGTCGCTCTTCAATACTGGCCAGGTTAGATTGCTTGGTTGTTAGACCTTAGATTATGGATGTTTGATCAATCGGGTTATGGTTTATCGATTGGTGGAGTTGTGGAGGAAGGCTGGTAACGTTGACGAGGCTTGGGAACCAGTATATGGTTTGTTGAAGTGCTGAATTGGTTTGCCAGTATACGGCCTGCTAGGATATTGAAGGATGGGGGATTCTGAGAGGAATAATCCTATGATGACTGAGGTGATGTCCTCTTCGTCTAATCGAATTACTGATAAGAAGCTTGTGGGTAGTTCTAACTTCCATCAATGGAAGAAAATTGTGAAGCTTACTTTGACAAGCAGGAATCAGATTAGACACATAACTGAGCCGAAACCCGAAGATGATGCAAATTGGGATATTGTTGATGCATGCATCCTTGGTCAGATGTTAAATGCTATGGAAAATAATATAGTTGATCTAGTAACTCATATTGACACAGTCAAAGAAATGTGAGAGTATTTGAATGTATTATATTCTGGCCAAAATAACCTGTCACGAGTTTATGAGTTATCGCAGGAGTTTTACTAATCTGAAAGGAAGGGACATCCTATGACGCAATACTTTGCTGAGTTTAAGAGAATGTATGAGGAGTTGAATGCTATTCTTTCCATTTCAGCCAATATTCAGCAAATGCAACTTCAAAGAGAACAATTGGCTGTAATGGTGTATCTAGCAGGTATTGGTCCTGAATATAAAACTGTTAGGTCTCAGATTCTTGGAGGAGAGGCTGTCGCATCACTCACGGATACGTTTGCTCGGGTACTTCGGGTATCTCGTGAGTCTCCTCAGGATATTACACCTATGGCAGATAGTTCAGCTCTTGTGTTCCAATCTCGATCGGGTAGCGGTAGCAGGAGTGATGGAGGAAATCGTGGAGGATATAGTGGACGTGGTGGCCGAGGAGGAGGCTAAGGTGAAGGACCAGGGAGAGGCCAAGGCCAACAGCATGTGTCTACTAACAACTCAGGGGCCATACGGACGTGTCATTACTGTGGGAAAGCTGGCCATATTCAAAAATTTTGTTACAAGTTACATGGAAGATTAGTGCAGCAACAACAGTTTGCATATACTGCTTCTGGTACTGATTCTTCTCCACAGTCTTCTGAAGGCAAGGTAGTTGTTATGTCTGATGAGGAGTTTGCACGGTACACCCAGTCTCAGATTTCACAGCCTGCTTCTTCCACTGCTACTTTGGTACAGACAGGTAATGCGACTACATGCCTTTCAGCTACTTCTTGTCCTTGGATCATTGATTCAGAGGCTTCTGACTACATGTCAGGTCTTTCAGGTATATTTTCCTCTCTTACTTCATCTTCATCCAAGGTAACCATAGCCAATGGATCATCTACACATGTTAAGGGCGTTGGCACAATTTATCCAACTCCTTCCTTGCCATTGTCCTCAGTGCTTTATCTTCCTCAATTTCCGTTTAACCTCATGTCTGTCAGTAAATTAACCAAAAACTTTCAGTGTTCAGTAACATTCTACCCTGATTCTTGTATTTTTCAGGATCTGGCTACGAAGAGGACGATTGGTAGAGGACATGAGGCAGGGGGGTTGTATGTACTTGAAGACGCTCCTCCCATTGCATGTCCTAGTGTTGCATCCTTACATCAGATCCATTGTCGACTTGGTCATCCTTCTCTACATAGCCTTCAGAAGTTAGATTCTAGTTTTAGATCCCTTTCTAGTTTAGAGTGTGAGTCATGCCAACTGGGCAAATTACATCGTATTAGTTACCCGCCACGAGTTATTAAACTAGCGTCCCCTTTTTTGTTAGTTCATTCAGATATTTGGGGTCCTTGTCATGTGACTTCTAATCTGGGTTTCAGATATTTTGTTACTTCTGTTGATGACTATTCCAGGGTAACATGGTTATATCTAATGAAAAATCGTTCAGAATTGTTTTCTATATTTCGTGCATTTGTATATGAAATTCATACTCAGTTTGGTGTGCAGGTTAAAGTTTTGCGTTCTGATAACGCTAAAGAGTACTTTTCTGCACCTTTTTCTGACTTTATGACTCAACATGGTATGATCCATGAATCTTCCTGTCCTGATACACCACAATAGAATGGTGTTGCTGAAAGAAAGAACAGACACTTATTGGATGTTACTAGATCCATGTTGTTTGAAATGAAGGTTCCCAAAACCTTTTGGTGTGATGCTGTTCTAACTGCATGCTATCTCATCAATCGCATGCCCTCTTCTGTTTTGCGAGGTGGTATTCCTTTTTCTACTTTGTTTCCAAATGTGTCACTGTTTGTCTTACCACCCCGTATTTTTGGTTGTCTGTTTTATTCGTGATCATCGACCTGGAGTATCAAAACTTGATCCCAAGGCTATCAAGTGTATGTTTTTGGGTTATTCTCGTACTCAAAAGGGATATCGTTGTTATTCTCCATTACTAAGAAAATACTTTATAACTGCTGATGTTTCATTCTTCGAATCCACGCCTTATCATGATGTTCCAATTTCTGTTTCTGAGTTTGATGAAGACTTCTATGTGACTACCCTTCGGTCACCTGCTCCAACTACTGGTACACAGGAACCACCTCCTCTCCAGGTTTATACTCGACGTCCTCGAGTAGCTACTATTTCCCCCCTTGCTCATGACACTACTACGTCATCTTCAGCTCCAGATCCGCCATTAGTTGACCCTCCTCTTGTATCTGATCTTGATCTTCCTATTGCTCATCGCAAAGGTACACGTACTTGTACTCAACACTCTATTGCAAACTTCGTCTCATATTCTTCTGTCTCTCCTTCTTTTCGATCCTTTCTATCTACTGTGGACCAATATCCTATCCCCAAATCTGTATCTGAAGCATTACAAAATTCTGGCTGGAGGACAGCAATGGAAGAAGAACCAATGGCTCTCCAGTTTAATCAGACTTGGGACTTGGTACCTCTTCCTTCAGCCAAAACTGCTATTGATTATCGTTGGATATTTGCTGTGAAAGTCAATCCCGATGGTTCTCTGGCTCGTTTAAAAGCACGACTTGTTGCAAAAGGGTATGCTCAGGTTTATGGAGTTGACTATCTAGACACTTTTTCTTCTGTTGCCAAACTTACTTCTGTTCGTATTTTGATATCCCTTGCTGCCACATATAACTGGCCTTTATTTCAGCTTGATGTTAAGAATGCCTTCTTGCATGGTACTCTTCATGAGGAAGTTTATATGGAGCAACCTCCGGGGTTTGTTGCTCAGGGGGAGTCTGGGGTTATGGTTTGCAAATTAAGAAAGTCTTTATATGGTTTGAAGCAATCCCCACGAGCATGGTTTGGAAGATTTTCTAATGCTGTACTTTCTTTTGGACTGTCTAGATGTGGAAATGATCATTCTTTCTTTTATAAACAGTCACGGGGAGGCAAACTGTTCTTGATTGTGTATGTTGATGATATTATCATCACGGGAGATGATTTGACTGGTATAGCTGAACTAAAGATTTATCTTCAGCAACAGTTTCAGACTAAGGATTTAGGAAAATTGAAGTATTTCCTAGGAATTGAAGTTGCTCAGTCACATAAAGGTATTGTTCTATCACAAAGAAAATATGTGCTGGATTTGCTTAATGAGACAGGTATGTTGGGATCAAAACCTCTTGATTCACCCATGGAACAAGGGGTCAAACTAGCTGCTGAGGGAGGAGAAACTCTTGATAACCCGGAGAGATATAGGAGACTAGTAGGAAAACTGAATTATCTCACAGTCACTCGACCAGATATTGCCTTTCCAGTTAGTGTGGTAAGCCAGTTTCTATCTTCTCCTCGTACATCTCATTGGAATGCAGTTACTCGAATATTGAGATACTTGAAAAAGACTCCAGGAAAAGGAATTATTTACCAAAATCATGGTCATAGCAAAGTCGAAGGATTCTCTGATGCTGATTGGGCAGGGTCTCCAGATGATAGAAGATCAACTACTGGCTATTGTACCTTGGTTGGAGGAAATCTAGTATCATAGAAGAGTAAGAAACAAAATGTTGTTGCACGCTCGAGTGCCGAGTCAGAAAATAGAGTCATGGCACAAGTGACATGTGAATTAGCGTGGATTCAACAGTTATTGACTGAGATAGGCTTCAAAGCTTCAGTACCCATGACTCTGTGGTGTGACAATAAAGCTGCAGTGCATATAGCTTCCAACCCTGTGTTTCATGAGAGAACAAAACACATTGAGGTTGATTGTCACTTTATTCGGGAAAAGTTGCAGAGTGGAATGATCATTCCCAATCATATTCGAACCGGTGAACAACTTGCAGACATTTTTACTAAACCTTTGGGTAATGGGAGGATAGAATATATTTGTAACAAGCTGGGCATGATTAATATCTATGCTCCAGCTTGAGGGGGAGTGTTAGAAGTAGTAAAAGGGTAAAGTGGTCCTTAGGACCTTTAGGTCTATTTTTTGGTATATGTATTGGACACTAGTTGTGAATACATGACAAGCTTTTCCCTCTCTCTCTCTCTATTTCTCATTACTAAAGTATGCTCATTCAAAATTTGAGAATCCAAATAATCTATTAGATTAATGGCAGTGGAAAGAAGACTTACAGGCAGCACTTCATTAGCCATATCTAGCACGATCGCATTGGCATCAGCATAAGGCAACAACCCTGCCAAAGAACCTCTTCCTGCCATGCGAAACCGTCCAGAGTTGTACAAAACTATTAAATCAACACCGCCTGCTTCTTCGAATTTCGCGGAGATGCCTGTCCCTGCACCAGCCCCTATTATTGGAATCCCTATTTTTATTTGATCTTGTAGCTGTTGCAATATAGCTCGTGTTCTTTTCAAAGTTTCTGCAATCAATTGCTTATAGTATCAGTGCCATTGAACAACATAGAACCTACTCAAACAGTTAGAGATCACATTTTAAGATTAGGAATACATGCCGTTCTTAGTCTTGTAGGAAAAGCAGAAAAAAAAATGAGCGATGCTTAGTAATATATAGTTGCCTTGCAGCCGCAATAAATAAACTATTACAACAGAAACAAAAGACCAAAAAGGATGTGGATAACTATGGTACTAATTGTTGGCCAAATAACATATAGAATCACCATATTTTACATGCCTACATGACTATTCAGAAAAAATGTGAAACTCCGCCTCAACTGCTCCATCTTTTCAAATGAACGTGAAGTATTCATAAATAAGCTATAGCAACCACCCGCAATTGATAACTGGAACACTACACTATGGCTGTCACAAACCTCAAGCATGCATTCTTTCTGTTGTATGCCATATTTTTTCAAGATGTGCTGTTGACTTGAACTTACTGAACATCTGAAACAATTTGCAGTGTCAAACCGGTTTACAATCCCTGTCAAACTTCTTTACACTCCTTGAAGTTGTTAGTGTTGTTTGCAAAAGTTAATTCGTCTGTAGCTGCACATCCTTATGTATGCATGGAGCAAAAGGTAAATGCACCTGACAAGTTTTGCACTTCTCGTCTGTCACTATTCAATGGATTTACCAGTAAGCATAAGATTAATACACCCAAAAAAAAACTTCCAGCGACACATTAAGATTAATCTAATCACCCTCCTTATCTGACAAAACAGTAAAGTGATCAAATAATCACCTGGATGTGCATCTGGGAAATCACTTGGAGAGTAAATAGTGGCCTTGAAGCTTGAATAACCCATCGTCGGTACTGCTCCCACATTGGAATCTTCAATAGATACGGCTACAGAAATTTGAGGACTGAATTCTTTCCCATTCTTCTTATTAATCTCCAAAAAGGAGTCAACAATTGCATTTGCAAACTCCACATCATTGATATGGTAAGGATACACTTTGATCTGTGTTAAATAACAATGGGTTACTATAAAGTCAATTCGATCATAGATACACTGTGTCTTTGGAGTAGGAGAGCAACACAACTGCATCAAATTTTAATTGATGATATCTGGTAAGCAACCAAATACCTTTCTGTCATTGTTTGTGTTAATAAGTTTCTGTAGTTCGTTTACAAGAGCAGCAGTAGCATCAGGGTCATGAAATGGCTTTCCTGGTGCATCCAAACCAGAAACACCCTTCTCCGGAAGACAAACGCAGACTTTTGATGCTGACTTGTTCAATTTGTTCGCTATGAAGTCAGCGAATTTCTTGTTCTCCTCAACTGTAGTTCGCATAAGTGAAACCTGCCAAATTTCATTCTTTTATGAGATCTTGCACTCTACTCCGATAATATGTACAGACACCTGATCTTGTCTGTTGTGATTTATATGGACAGAAAGATCCATCTCCCTCATAAAATAATCACATAACACTCTGCTGAAAAATCAAGTACAAACTAAGGCATCAGAAAAAGAAGAAAAAAAACGATGAGCAGAACGACATGATGCCAGATACTAATGAAAGGGAAAAAAGATTCGAGTCTCATCACCTGTTTATTATGTTCAAGGATCTTTCTTTGCTGAAAAATAGAAGGTATGGTATCTCTAGCTCCAAAATTCACCATGTCTAGGGCACCCACACTGAGGACTAGAGGAACCTTCTTTTCTATAATAGCATCAAAACGAGAACTGTCACAAGCCATAACACCTCCGACAATATGATCAGCAACCTCAGTTGTCGTGATGTCCAAAACACCCTGAATAACACAAAAGTGGAGCTAAAAATATGATCTAGTCCATACAAACATACTCATTGGAACCAATAGTCTTTTCTCCCCTTAGGAAAACTAAACACAGGATATGATAACTAGTTAAATTAACAACATTCAAAGACTCAATGCAGGAAATTTGCAATCAGAACGTACTTGTATGAATCCTTCTCTAACCAAAGACTCCATGGCCCTGCCTCCAACGCCTGTGGCATGGAAAACCAAAGTCTCATAACCATTCTTACTTAATCTCTCTACCACAGCACTCACGCACGGAGTCGTAACCCCGAACATAGTAATACCCACAGTTGACTTGGCATCCGCCTTATTTTCCTCACTGCACCTATCAATCCTCCCGATCACCATTCCAGCAAAAGCAGCCGCAGCATTGGAAAACACCACCCTCCTACTCACACTATTAATCCCACACACATCCACCACAGAAGGAAATAGCACCAAATCTGTCGATCCAATGTAAGGCTCCGTTTGTCCACTAGCCACGGTCGACACGATTACCTTGGGCAAACCCAGCGGAAGAGCTCTAAATGCGGATGCTATGAGAGAGGTGCCTCCGCTTCCTCCGAGTCCGATAGCTCCAGCTAGAATCTGATCCTCGCTAGCTCTTTTCAGGTAAATCTCCAGCGCTTTGCACATTAACGAGACCGCCTCGCCTCTGTCGTCCGGAAGTCCATGCGGCTGTTGGCCATTGAATTCGAAGTACTGAGAGAGCAGTTCCTTTCGAGAGGTAAACACTAGGCCTTCCACACTTCGAATCTCACCCTGACCGGCCGATACATCGACGACAGCAACTTCCACCTGTCGTTCCACACGATCGCAACAGTCAAAAAGCCAGAATCGAACTCAAGGAAGGCTATTCACAACGGAATGCAAAAGCATTTCGCCGGATCAAGCCACATTCATCCGACGCGAAAAAAGCTCGATCTCGGTCCACTAATCAATGGCGAACGCCGTTTGTCGTTTGAGTTCACGCAGGGGGGAAGCCGCGGATCAAACGGACGGGACGGGGAAAAAGCGAACGTACCGCAGAGCGAGGGCCGGCGGCGAAGGCGGCGAGGTGCGATTCGACGGAGCCGGCGAGGAAGCGGAGCTCGTCGAGCTTCGTGTCGGCCGTTCCGATGCAGAGGACTCGCCGAGCTGGCTGCGGAGCCGCCATTTCCTTCTCGGTGTGCCTCGTAGCGGCGGAGCTGGCAATCGGCGAGGGTGCGAGCGAGCGAGCTGGAGTTTGATCGGCGTGCGAGGTGGGATGCGAAGGTGAAGAAGAAAGCGGTTCGCCGGCGATGGGGCTGGCGGGGTTGACTGTGCTGCCAGAAGCGAGAGGTTGAAGGAATGGCGAAGCAATTCGAGAGCTTGGAACTGGGATGTACGACGAGGAGAATGAAATAGCGGTAAAATATAAAGGGATAATACCGCGAAAAATCAAACTGATAATAATTTTATTTTAAATTAATTTTTTGATTATTAAAAATTTAAATTAGTATATTTGTGATAAATTTATCCTCAGTTTATTTTCGTTAAATTTTACTGTCAAATTGCTTTGTTAAATGATACGCCGCAATTGACGGATGTACCAATTTTATGTTTTACCCTTTATTTGCAGTTTATGATTTTTTGTGATATTAATTTAATTTAATAAAAATTAACGGAGGGTAAATTTGTCACAAATGTATCAGTTCGAGATTTTTGGTGATTAAAAAATTAGTTTTGGGTAAATTTGTCACAAGTGTACCTGTTCGGGGTTTTTGTTGATCAAAAAATTAGTTTGGGGTAAAATTATCGTATGTGTACTAGTTTGAAATTTTTCGTGGTATTAACCTATATAAATAGGACGATCGATCTTTTACACTTTATTATGCTTGTGTTTTAGTTCTGTCGCCAAAAGATGGTAGGTGACTTTTAATTACGACTCGGGCTATTTATTTTTTTAAGATTTATTATTCGTTTTTACATCTTTTCTTAAATAACAAATCTACCGTGTTCAAGTCAAACAATAAATATTAAGGTCGAATTTGGATACTATTCTTGATTTAAGATTATTTTTTACCTTTTCATTAATCTCTCTTTGGTTTTCTTTTTTTTTTTCTCGTTTTTCTCCCGTTTGGGATAAAATTAGTATCCTTCTTTTTCAAAAGTACACGTGAAAAGTGAAAAGTGAAAAGAATCATCTATTAGTTTTAATGAATGCATTCAGTTTACTTTAATATGTAAGATTACACTATACTCCATGTATTTTAGCTACTCGACTTTCGTTTCAATCGGTGAATATAATATTCCAACTTTCATTTATTTTTTCGTGCCATCACCGCACGATTTTTTTAAAGATATTTTCAAAAAATTTAAAAATTGACAAAGTTATCTACACTAAAAATTTTAAACATCCATTATAATCTTGCAAATTTAAAAGAAAATGTTCCATAAAACATTATATGAAATATTATCTTTGCCTTGAATACATAGAATAATTAACTGTTGACAAGAAAATTGTGACAGTTGTAATTGCTTTACAAGACAATACATACAAATATTTTTTGTCAATTCTAAATGTATCAAAATTTCTAAAGAAAGAGAAGGGAAAAAAGGTAAGAAATAATTTAAATCTGGACCTGCGGAGATAATATGGTCAATTTAAGGCGATAGGAGGTGTGAGAAATCAAAAAATGGTGAAAAAAGCACGAACCTTAATTATATAAATATATAGTTTCTTTTTTGTTTTCAAAAGTAAAAGAATTATATTCTCTATGACAATACCATTTAGATAACTATCTAAGATTGTTTTTCAATATAAAAAAAAATTGCAGTTCTACTTTATATATAATTTTAAATTGATAGAGGAAATCACTACGGATCTTTTCGATTTAAGAACTCACTTAAGCAAAGGGAAAATATATTTTCTTAATTTCCCGCCAAAATTTCAAATATCATTTTTATGAAGATATTACATGTGAATACGCATGTCAACGTTTGTATATTATGAAAGTCTCATGTTTTTCGAGTTAAGATCAAAATTAAAGTGCATCCGTTGCAAGATTTTAATTCAGTAAAGAGTAAATAATAAAAGTCTATCCAGACATGTCATAAATTTCCTCTTTTTTAGTTCTTTTGAAATTCTAAATAGTTATAGTAGTACTTAAGTTCAGAGTACATTTTTAATGTTATGTCTCTGATACTTTTGTCAGTTCTAACTAATTGATAATTATTTTAGTTATACAACCTATGAATGTAGAATAATATCAATAAGAAGGTAAATGGAGTTAAAAAGCTACTCTAAATCTAATTTATGTTATTTTCATTCCAAAATGAAAACAAGGGCGCTTGGAAAACTAAAAGAATAGCCTCTCTCCTGTAACTTAATGAAACATAAAGCACTTTTTATTACTTTTATTCGTTAGATATTTGAGTAATTATAGAATACCGTCATGGCGTGAAAAATAATCGTACACAAACAGCTTTATACGCTGTTGATTTGAGAGAGTGAGTAGTTATAATTCTCGAATCAAAGGCGAATAAAATTGTAAAATTTTCTTTACACAGGCGGTACGTGATCTAATGTATCTGAATGTTTATTGAACACGCATTCGAGAGGGAATTGAAAGAACCGCTCTTGCTTTTTGTCCTTGGAAAAAGGATGGTACATATAATTGCTTGGTGAATGAGCAGATTCATCACTCGAGCTCTCCCAGGCGAGTAGAAACCTAAATCGGACACAATTGGCCACAAAACAAGACACGACACGACCGGGTCGATCATATGTGACTAACTCAAATTGGCTGGTTCGATAGATGTAATTGAGATTGGACGTGAAGTACGAATTCCATCTCATATGCGCTGCTAACTCGAATCGATCTTTATATTTATCCGACTTAGGAGCGGGACCATAGCTGCTGCAACCATGATGAACCCCTGATTCTTTACTTCATTATTTTACAATCTATTCCTTTTTAAAATAAGATTTGGGGATCATCTGAAACTTAATTTTAATGGATTCCAATTGTACGATCACAAAGAAGAAGGGCGCATGTTGCTAAGAATAATGTGGCTAATTGACTCAAATCTCACATCTACCAAATCATAGATCTTGACAGATTGCCTAACGCAGATGGGATGTCACATGATGGAGCAGGGCGGATCGGGCTCTTCCCATCCCGGCATGTAGACGATCGCCATTTGCCGGCAGGCCGGGCAATCGCAGGGCATGTAGCAGTGGCCCGCCTTCGCCTCGGGCTTCTTCTCCTCAGGCTTCTTCTCCTCGGGCTTCTTCTTTTCCGGCTTCTTCTTCTCGTCTTGCTTGGGCGGCGGAGGAGGAGGCCCGATGCTCACGACCTCGGCGTATTTGCCGGCTTTTCTAGCCTGGAGTATGACGTCGTAAGGGTCCACGTCGCCCGTCACCGTCAGCGTTCCCTTGGAAGAGTCCACTTCGATCTTATCAACCCCTGCGTTCACAAATTACCATCCGGTTTAACCATCGATGATCATCCTTGCGCATGCTCTCGTCATCTAATGATGTGGAGACGGGACGCGAAAATTAACAGGAAAAACGAGCATTTTCTCGACTCTAACATACGTTCAAATTCCATTGGAAGAGAAACTGTTCTCAAATTGAATAGGCAGAAAGAAGAAATTGGTGGCAAGGAGGTGCATGAGATGGGGAGCTTGTAACTTGCCTTCTAGTGAAGAGACTGCTTTGAGGAGCTTCTTCTTGCATTTCTCGCATGTTATACTAACCTTCAAGACCGTCTTCTTCACCATGATTAAGGAACTGATAGGCGTTTTTCTCTCTGTCTCTCTCTCGATTTGATTACAACCTTAGAGCTCTCGAACTTGGCATCAGTTGGGGACGGGCTTTAAGGAGAGAATCTGAGGACCGGCATTAGGGTTTGAGCCTCTAAATTCAGAGTGGTTCAACTCCTTTGTCATTTAGTCATAGAATGCAATCTTTTTATAATCATCTTTTGGCAAATCTTATGTCAACGAAAGCCCCCCTCCAACAAAGCCTTGACATCTTCCCCAATGTTGTGAAGCTGGATCTATGTGTTTGGGTCGATTTTGAGCCTGGTGAACCACCATACGAACTCACCAGTCACCACCTGTTGATTTGGAGTTAAGTCCTAAGGATTGGTACTGCTCCATATAAATAGTCCGGAAAGACCCGCGTCCGATCATTAATCATCTCTGCATCGACCGCTCATTGGTCATAACCATGATTCGCCGACGATCGATGATAGCGGACCGCATGCGATTTCAAGTGCTAAATAGGGCGGAAAGAATTCCTTAAACAGAGTCAGTGTCGAACCATATCGCAAAGTTTTTAAACCTCACAAAAAAGATATGGAAGTTGCACCAACCCTAGCAAATCGGGAAGGAATGTCAACAGTTTCAGAAAAGAGGGAATTGACATGTTCTTTGTCTCTCTCTCTCTCTCTCTTTTCATTTAAGTGTAAAAGCACACCTAAATTAGTTATCATCATGGCTGTTACATATAAGTTTGAAAGCCCAAGAGAAGAGTCTGATTGGCTCATTGGAATCAACCATCACCCACTCTTGTGATAATCAATGGTCACCAAAGCCTTTGAAAGAGATCCCCTGAATTAGTCCATGAAGAAACTCTTGAGGTTTAATTGCACATGGACCTTCAGCTTGTTTAATAAGTTGCTGCAACCACTCCTGTTTGGTCAAGAGAAAATATTTTATGCGTCGGCTGCGTGATTGACATAGTATAATAGATCGACACAACGTCCGCTCGATGTCATCTCGATTCTCGACTGATTGTATCTACAGATTTTTTAATATGCTTCCTTTAGTCGGATTTCTTCTTGTGCCACTGCCATATGATGATCTAGAGGCATAAAGCAGTCTTCTCGTTTGGGTGTTGGCCTTTCAGCTAAACCAAGACACTTCATGTGGATTTTCGCCAAATGGTTGAAAATTTTTGAGGTGATTGAAAATATTATTGTTGATAGTCCAATTCTGAGATGTTCCATATTGTCAGAAAGTTGCCTTTTCATATTCTAATGCTTAAAGAAAATCTAAAAGCCACATTAACACACTCTTAGAAAATTTGTTTACCGGAAGAATTCTAATATTTTGTGTCCAAAAATACGAAATTATCTTCCATGTTGGTGCATCCTAACAAGTGTTGATAAGTGTAAAAAAAAAATTAATACCCCGAAAAACCTCAAACTGATACACATGTGACCAAAAACCCTAAATCGGTACATTTATGACAAATTTGTCATCCGTTAGTTTCCGTTAAATTGAATTAATACCACAAAAAATCACAAACTGGTATACCTATAACAAACGGAGAGTAAAACCTCAAATCGATACACCCGTCAACAGTCATGTGTCATTCAATTCAGCAATTTGACGATAAAATTTAAAGGAAACTAACGAAGGCTAAATTTGTCACATTTGTAACGATTTGGGATTTTTAGTGGTCAAAATATTAGTTTAAAGTAAATTTATCACAGGTGTACCAGTTCGAGATTTTTCATAGTATTAACCAAAAAAACACTAGTAACTTTTTTCAAGTAACTTGTTGATAACATACCAATCTTTTTATAAAATTACCAATACTTTTTTGATAGTTTACAAATTAGCAAAGGGTTGGTAATTTCATAATATGATGATGACTTACCTCCTTTTTCAGAATTCTATCTTCACAAAAAAAGAAAAATACATTTTGTTAACGACATGGCAGAATCATTGTTGTCTAAAGTTCAGGAAAATTAACCAATTAATCCTAAACATATTATATAGATGCCGATTTAATTCTAAACTTTTCAGTTTTGCTAATGTCTCCACTAAAGTTTTTTAGATGAAAATCAAAGGGTTTCTAAAGGAGAGAGTCTTCAATCCAATGAGTGGACAACTTGAGTGATGTGCACAAATGATCAAGTTTGGTCAAGTATTTCTATTCTTTAATAAGAAAAGAAAATATAAGGAACCTCTTCAAGAGCTTTTGCTCTTATGAGAGCTTTTGTGGCATGTCTACGTATGGAGCGAGTTCCATAAATGTGTTCCTTATTTTAATATGTCGGTGCTCACACACCTCACCCCTCCTTCCCCCCAATTCCCCGCGTATCTTTATCTTCCCCTGGAGGAGGTAATACACTTTAAAAGTTTTACATCCCAATAATCTTGAGGTTCTAACGAGAAATGTGAAGCAAGCTCAATAGATGTGTTCCTTATTTAACATGCCGGTACCTGCACACCTCGCCTCCCTTCCCTCCAATTCCCTATGTATCTTTGTCTTCCCTTGGACAAGTGAATACACTTTAAAAGTTTTACATTCGAGTGATCTCAAGGTTCGGACGAGAACCGAGATGTAGCTATTTAAGAACTTGCTCAGGTCCAAAGTATTTTTATTCTCTAATAGAAAAAAGTATATACAGGGGAAACTCTTCAACGGTTCTGCCTTCTCCCCGGTCCAAAATACTTGTTTATATGTTGCATTGCATTGTGTGGTGGCCCCCTTCCTCTTTTTTAAACCTTCAGTGGACAGTTGAAAAATCTCCAAAGCCCACTCAACACTCAACCAGCATCATTAGTTCCATTCCCACCCTTGTTTTTCCTCCCACGACAACTCGGAGAGAAAAAAAATTTCAAACTTTATTTAGGACCTCACCAGTCATCATATAAATGTAGAAAATTGTTTTATACATCGACAAGCACCGTTTGATATTTACATTAACGAGCGACTATGATTGTGTAAAGTGAGATACGAGTTAACGCTAATGGAGTATCAAATGAAAAAGGGTGTATGGAGAGGCATCCTAAGAACGCGGTAGACGGCGAGTGGATGTACAAAAACCTAGTGGTCACATGCGGACCCGACAAGAGTGTTGTGGTGTCCTTTCCCGCGATGGAGATGGTCGAGGATTCGGGTCAATTCAAGCTATTTCATGTGCACGCCGCACATCCGGGATAAGACCCTCCAATTCGAACGGAGGTTCGTACACGCGATCGCGTTATTATTATTATCGAGAAAATTGTTTAAAAAATCATAAATTTATTATATTTTTACCAATTCAGTTATGAACATTTTAATTGTGACAATAGAGTCATAAACATTTTCATGTTTTTCTAATTGGGCTCATCCAGCCAATTTTGATCAGAAATTACCGACGTGGACAATTTTTAATAGCATTTTTAATATTTTTTTTAAATTATTTATTTTTTCTTTTCTTTTCTTTTCTTTCTCTTTCTTTTTTTTCTTCCGTTCTTTCTTTAGCCGATCGCCAGGCCTTGGTGACCAACCAAAGGCAAAGGCCAGCGAGGTGCGAGGTCTACCTCGCTGGCATCTGATAAAGCTCGCCCCTGCCAACCACTGGCGACTAGCGAGGCTCAACCTCGCCCAACCATGATGAGGCTGACCTTGCCTTCACTGGGCGAGGAACGACCTCACCCACATGTAGTCCAGTTTCTACCGTGACTCACAATTAGTTGGAGCGGTATAAAATATTCGATAAACTTGCTATAAGTTATCGTTGATAATGAGAGATTTTGATTCACCACTTATTCATATAATTAGAAATATAAACATGACTTTATAACAAGTAATCCCTACGATTGTTACGGCTATTTTTATCGAAAGAACGACATGACAATTAGACCTACCTCTATAATCCTTCAAAATAATAGTCCTTAACCCTTGTTGCGAAACGTCGCAAGGAGAGCGACAACCTCTGCCTATCCCGCTCCTACGCTCCTGTGCATAACATCTAATCCGGTTTCTACCGTGACTCGAATCGGCTAAGAGGCCGATCAAAATCGCCGTCCAATCTATCGTATCATGATCTAATCTAATTAAGACCTAACAATTGGATAAGCGGATGACTTTATCGGCTTGGAATCGAACTGGATAAGTCTCGAATCACTTCCCTAAAAAGTGAAACTCTTTATCATCCTACATCCCCCTCTTTCTTGAGAAGCACGCTCACAAAGGAATAAGCTTGATGGATAGTCTTTTCAAAGTCCACTAAGCGACACTAACAAGGTCCAAGCCTGGGGGACCAAAGGTTCCGCACACGATTCATGCATGTTAAACAAAAATGGCCACTTCATGCATGCCCGGAACAGGCCCCCCTCATGCCTCAACAAATAAAAGGCCAAAAAAGAAACAGAAATATGATCGTCAATCATAATTATCCCTCAATTGGCACGTGTCATGCAACATTGCGACTTTTAAGGGTAAAAGTATAAATGGTGGAAGTGGTGAAATGATGGATCTGTGTATTCTTTCTATCTCGGTGGGAGTATGGATCCCACCCACCCATGAACAATTTCGCTCAAAAGAACTGGGGTGGGAAAAGTTTTTTGAAAACCAGCTTTGCATTATCCCAGTGCCCTTGCACCTGAGACTTTCGTATCTGAAAATTATTTGGCCTAATTCCAAAAAAAAAACTCACGGATTTCTTTTCGGAGGATAAAAATATTTTCACTTTTCAAATAATTCAAAAAAGTCCGTCAATTTTTACTCAAGGGACAAAAATACCCACCGTTAATATTTCCGTCCCCATAAATTACGTCAATCAAATGAGTGGGTCAAGTAGAAAATGATCCGACCAAAATTGACTCGTTTCTATTGACTCATATCCGATCCGATTCATACCCAATAAATACCCGAACTAACCCATATTGTTAAAATACTTATATATTTAACACAATTTAAGAAAACTCATTCACAAACTAAGGTGAAAGCATAAAGCAATCGAGCACGAGATCGAGTGAGAGCCGAAGATAGTGAAGAGAGAGTTATATAGGTGAGTTAGGTCTAAATAAGTTATGAACTTATTTAACACGCATATTAATTCCATTTATGACCCATAAAGTTTGGTCTAAATCTATTTATAATCAATTTCTTTAACAACTCAGTCTATCAAATATGAGTTAAGAAATTGATCCATGACATGTTTATCCGCAAGCTGCGTGGCACTTGACGCAGCTACGGCGTCCCCATGTGCGAAAGGCACATTAGTAAGAGCAAGAAAGCGTTGTGGAAATGTCAGCAAAAACCAGAAGATAACGATTCCCCAAAACATTGACGACTCCGATTCCCCTGAATTGGGACTTATATGGTTCATCTTTCAGGAGAAAAGAGAGAGCAAGGACTCCAGCCCTTGGCGATATTTTCTGTCCTATGGGTCAAAAGCTCGGGTGCTTTAGGAATTTGGCCAAAATTTAGTCTAAAGCTCTTTGAACCCAAATCCTATCTTTCAGAACTCTACAACTCTAGAGCAGCTACGAGCCAAAAAAAAAAAAAAAAACTCTAGAGCAGCTAGCTAGCCAGTTGCTTTAATTCAAAGTCTCATGCTGTTTTGCAGTGCTCTCTTAAACTCATCTTTCTCACATCTAGAGCCTCCTGAAAGAGGAACCGTTCAAGGGGTTATGTTCTTACCATTGGACAACAAATAAATGGTCCATAGCCATTCATTGCAAACTTAGTGAACTATTTGTGTGGACGATATCTTCTCTGCGACCAAATGCATACTATTAATAATAGTGTCTCGAGGGAACCTTTGAAGCCTGTGCACGATGGAATAGACTTAAGTGGGCATCTGAATATGCTTCAATTATTTGAATACTTATTTTCATGACGTTAGACATAACGGGTGATGATGGGCGGACTCGTCCTAGAACTTGGGGAAAGTACCAAAAAAATCCTGAATATATTGTATTTATATCAATTCAGTTCTAAATCTTTCAATTTGATCAATTTAGTCCAAAACCTTTTCACTTTGGTATCAATTTAGTTCATCTGGCCAATTTAGGTCGAAAAACACTAATGTGGACGCCAGTGCTAAAGTGCACATTTTAAATAATTTTTTATAATTTTTTTATTTTAATTTATTTTCTTATTATTTATTATTTTTTCTCTTCATTTTAGTCGGCGAGGGCTAGTCGCCCAGAGCTGGTGGGGCAGCGAATCTGGACGAGGGCTACCTCACCCAAGGCCGACGAGGGCTTGCTGGCCCTTGCCGGCCAAAATGAAGGAAAATTTTAAAAAAAATAATAAAGAAAAGAAAAGAACAAAAACATTCTAAAAATTAATAAAATATTTTTAAAATGTCCACTTCGGCACCGGCTGTGCCAAGTAGGATACTCGGTGTCCATGTCAATAATTTCCTGCTTAAATTGGCCGGATGGATTGAATTAGTAAAAATGTGAAAAGGTTTATAACTAAATTGGTCCAATTAAAAAGTTTAGAAATGAATTTGTACCAAAATAATAGGTTTAAGCCTTTTTTGGTACTTTTCCTGGGAGAAGTTCCTAGAAGGTCATTTTGCAACTTTGATACACATTAACATGGTGGATGCGACAACTTACTCGCCAGATCCGCAAGCTAAACATTTTGCAGTAGGCTATAGAGTTCCTCTAATCATTTAATGAAGATAATTACACTAGTGTTTCACCGAAAGGTATCAATCAAATATCTTTCAAAGTGATGATGAATTGGTGAGAGAATCTACAAAGGATATGAAGGGTCTTTTGTTTTTTTTTGCTAGAATATGAAGGGTCTTTTGTTGATTTTAGATAAGAAAGTAAATGACAAAAATTTTAAAAATATAGAAAGATTGGACACAATTGCGGCCAGCCACTTAAATTGCGAAAAAGTAAATATAAAGATAAATTTGTAAAGAACATTGAGTTTTATAATTAATTTGGGGTTTTACAAAGAATATAAGGTGTCTATTTATAGCTCACAATTGACAGTTACAAACAAGTGTTTATTGAATTTGAAAAGATAACTTCCTATTCTACACATAACTTCTTTCCTATTCGCAATTATAAAAAGTTACAACAACACTTATTCATAAGAAGTTACAAAAAATAATAAAATAGCAGTAATGACCACAAAAAAAAACATAACTACCCAGTAGTTACTTCTTCGTGTTGATTGTCCACTGTTGATAACTTCCTTGGTGAGTTCTCGATGCTTTTCAGATTGTCGACTATCTTTTTCATTAATGATTTCTCTAGTTCAACGGACTTTCCTTTTATCGACTAAGTATGTCATTTGTCAATTGCAACTAAAAGTTTTGTATTTTTGGATGTCAACATGTAGCACTTTTAAAAGGAATGGAATGATCCATCAATCACTCTATTCTTTTAAATTAGATAATCCGAGATTATTGTATGCCCCTTTATCATCAGCATATTTGATTTTTCCCTACCGAATTGCCTCTTGATTTGTTTTCTTTAAAACAATACAATTAGCTATGTTATGGCTCTATGAATTGTGCCACTTGCAATATTTTTTCTTTACTAAATCTTCTTTACTCAAGATATTTTGGCATTGCGTTAATGTTAATTTTATTAGGCCATCCTTTAAGAGTAAATCGAAGATTTTGTCCAACTTGTTGAAGTCGAATGAGTAGACTCGAATGTCTATAGCTCTAGCCATTTTGGTTTCTTTAACTATGGCAGGCTTTAAGGATCAACAAGTAAGGCTTGTCGAACATTATTTTTCCACATTTATTTCAATGTTATTATTCAGGTCAAATTCATACTTTGACTCATAATTTTTTTCATTAAAGCCACATTTTGTGCAAAGTTTTCAGGTGGTCCTTTGTCTATGTCTTTAAGAATTTACTCATACTTAGACACTCTCGGTACCAATTGAAATTAATTGGCAAAGTCTTGGCTTTTCTCTTAGATTGAATATCAATCCATCGAAAGCCAAGCTCGTGAACACTTTTTCTAAGAGTGAAGTAAGGAATTTATTCCTAGTCTTCTTAAATCGAGCAACAGACTAATCGACCAATTCATTATTGTATTGATAGAGTCTGGTTATATCAGCAATTGATACTTCAAATATCGTTCGATAAAATTGAGAGTGGAATTGTCTTTCCATCTCTGTCTAGTTATACACTGAATTAGGTAATAAATTAGTGTACTGGGTAAAAGCACTTGTTGACAAAGACAAAGCAAATAACATTAGTTTTGAAAGTTCATTTGTCCCTGCTCCCCACATTGTGCTATAAAATTGAATAATGTGTTCAATGGTTGATTGTTCATCTTCGCCAGTGAAAACAATCTAGTTAGATATTTTGAAACCCCTTAGATTATCGATCCATTCAAAATGTTGTTTCCTATAAACAGGTATGATAACACCACTATCTAATCCCAACCGTTACAAAGTGTACTGGATTCAATTGTGGATTCGTCAAACAAGTATGATAACACCCCTGTCTAGCCCTCTAGGCGATGATGCTAATCATCAATGTTAATCGACATGTTAGGCCTAACAGGAATATTCACATTGGTGGGTACCAATGGAGCCATTGCCATATTTTTCAATATTTGGCAATTCGGCCTGTTGACCAATTTGATTTGCCAAATTATTGTCACCATTTGGTTGTTTTGACCAACACTATTAACATCGATAAATGGAGAGAGATTAGGAATGTACCCCGTTACCATTAGATTGAATACTAATGGTTGATTGGATGATCCTAGCCTTGCGAGAACATCATTCATAGCATTGATAACGATCGGCTTGATTATGTATAAGGTGTGATTCACATGTAGTTGGCCTTATCATTTTGCTACTCTTTCAATAACCTCTTCATGGCAGCCATCATATGAAGATTTGGCGCAACTTCTCTCGACTGCTCTTCACCGAGACGTTGGCGAAGGTCTACCCGCTCGTGTTGTCCTTTTTCTGCCACTCAGTTAACGGTTAAAGAGTTGAAGTACGCAGCAACTTCGTCACCAATTTGTGGCACTAGATTATTGTTGCTTGCAACATTATCAGACTCTTGTTAATTTTTGGTTCTTTCCATTGAAGTCTCCTCGAATCAACAAAATGCATCCCACCAGGCGTGCCGAAAAGATGTTTTATCAAAATGTGTCGATGACATATCTTTTGAAGTATTAATTAATCAACGAGTCAATGGACAAAGGATATGAAGGGTCTTTTGTTGATTTTGGACAGAATATTTAAATGACAAGAGATTTAAAGATACAAAGATTGGAGACAATCGAAGCGAGCCATTTAAATTGCGAAAAAGTAAATATCAAGATAAATTTGCAAAGAACATTAAGTTGTGTGATTGATTGGGGGTTTTACAAAGAGTACAATACGGTTATTATAGCCCACAATTGACGGTTACAAGTAGTTATGAATTTGAAAAGATAACTTCCAATCCAATCTTCGAAACAAAAAATTTCTTAATCCTACTTGCGGTTACAGGAAGTTACAAAAATATTTGTTTTCAAGAAGTCAAAATCCTAAAATAGTGATGATAAACATAACTACCCAACAGATACGTTTTTGTGACAATTGCCCACTACCGATGAGTTCCTTGGCGAGAGTTGTCAATACTCTTCAAATTATCGACTAGTTTTTTCATTGATGATTTCAATTGTTCGTCAAACTTTATTATTACTGACTAAGTCTGTTGCTTATTGATTATAATCAAAAGTTTGTCAATTTTTTTTTGTTGTGTTGACAGTGAGTCACTCCCTCTCGACCGAGTTAGATTCTTTTCCCCATGCCAAAGTAACCCCTGATTTGATGGACTCAAAAGATAGCATCCCTACACTGAGTGGGAACAATGATGAGATCTCCTATTTCAGTACAAGACAGGAACCATTTGCTTCGGAACTAATTGAACGCACCACCACCTCTTTTGGCCGATGGCCTCAAGTCAAAAGAAGAAGATTGGACAAAGTTCAATTGTGCCAGACTCTCCTTCGGGCCAGTAGTGAATGGCACTGTTCAGACGCCACAGAGTTTTGGCGATAGGGTCAAAAGGAAGATAATGTGCGATAATGCACTGGTTCTCTGCATGCGCTAGCTTCATGCTCTGCTTTTAGATTAGACACCAAATTATATTGCTTTTTTCTTCCCCTCATTTGAGTATGTAACAAATTTGGACACGACAAGTTTCCCGGACCCGAAAGGTCCACGCGCATGCTCTAAAACAATCTAATCGACCTTGCACAGACTCTCCTAAACTCTACTGGCTCGAATTTTCTAATTGAATGCTTTGCGATACTCTTAAGATTAAGCTTATTCCTGTGATGGAGAAGATACGCGGTATCCTCACTGACATCTACGGGAATCAATGCTAAAGATGACAACTTTGTCCACGGAGCCAGCCGACATGTCCCCCAAGCTTTTAGAATCTCGTTGGATCTTCACTAGGACAGAGTTTCTCCTTTCTCAAACCAAACTGACAACTGAAAAAAGAAGCCCACGAAAGCAAAGTCATGCATTAATCATGGTAACAAAAGTGTTTTGAGCTGCCCGCTAATGGAGCATTAATTTTACAGGGTCCATTCTTAAGAATCAGAGAGAGGGCACATTCGAGGTCCCCTGCCACAAAGTTATTATCATCATTGACAATCATCATGACACGAGAGTTTAAATGCATCTTGAACTACCATGATAACCAAATAAATATATTTAAAAAAAGTGAGGGGGCTGCATCATTGTGACTACTCTCTCTGTCTCTGTAAAGAGAGCAAGTGCATAAGACACCATATATTCTTCAAGCTCTCTGCAAATAATCAAAGAGAGGGAACTTATTCTTTGTTTTGTTGCCCAACCAGATCATGGATGTGGAGAAGGTCTTTCACATGACAGGAGGTGTTGGCAACACTAGCTATGCTAAGAACTCTTCGCTTCAGGTCTCTCTCTCTCAAAATAGGACATTTTTTTCATGCCTCACGATTTGATTTTATTCACTTCAGTAACTCTCTCTCTCTCTCTCTCTCTCTCTCTCTCTCTCTCTCTCCACAGAAGAAGGCAGCTGATATGGTGAAGAGCATAACCATGGAGGCAGTGCAACAAGTGTACCTGAGTCTCATGCCAGAGAGCATTGGAATAGCTGACTTGGGGTGTTCCTCAGGACCCAACACCCTGTCCATCATCAGGGATGTGATTGAGGCAGTGCAAGGGACAAGCCAAAGGGTCACGAGTCCAACCCCAGAGTTCAGGGTCTACCTCAACGACCTCCCCACCAATGACTTCAACTCCATCTTCAAGGCCTTGCCAGATTTCCACAGAGAGCTCAGAGAGGCAAGAAGGAGAGAGGGTGGGCTTTGTCATCCTCCTCTGTACATGGCAGCTCATCCTGGGTCCTTTTATGGGAGGCTTTTTCCCAACAAGTGCTTGCACTTTGTCTATTCATCCTACAGTTTGCACTGGCTCTCAAGGGTAACAAGATACTATCCTCTCCCTCACTTTTTTTAGCCCTGTTCGGGTCACTGGTGAGAGCCTCACTTGTCACTACACCCATTTTGATACCATTTCAAGGAGAATCTTGAATTTTATAGCATAACATCTTGATTGAGCTGAGTCCCATTTTTTGTACCAGTAAGTGGAAGAATTATGCCAATGAATAAGGATGAAAAGGACCACCGACCGAGAAAGAAAAGGACACACTTACGGGTTTGGTAGCCCAAATTGTATCGCTTATTGCTTCTAAGTGGCATTTTTAGGATAATAAAGGCATGATGTACTTGACTGACCATCTGCAAATGACGAAAAAACATCTTATCATCGGATCAAACTGCCCAACTCACATGTCCTTTTTTCAGGTCCCTCCGGCACTCTGTGATGAGAACAGAGAACCAATCAACAGGGGCACCATCTACATCTCTGAGTCCAGCCCTCCCTGTGTAGCCGAGGCGTACTTGCGGCAGTTCCAAGAGGACTTCACATCATTCCTCCACTTGAGATCTGAAGAGCTGGTGTCTGGAGGCAGAATGGTGCTGATCTTGCTCGGCAGAAGGGGCCCCCACCATGTTGATAGAGGCAACTCTTTCTTCTGGGAGCTCCTCTCAAGAAGCGTCTCCATGTTAGTTGCAAAGGTAACCTCAATTCCTAAGGCATCTTCAAGCTCTTTTCTATTTGAACGTCAAGTACTACGGTATGAATAAACTTGTGCGCCCGTTTTCTAATGGCTTAAACTTTTTGGAAAGAATGGTTTAGTCTAACATGGTGCCAGAGCACAAGTCACTAGATCGAATTCTAATGCTCCTTTTGATTTTCTTTTCGATGTCTGTTGTTCTCGTTACGCCATCCGCTTTTCCCGCCTCTTGTTGTCTGTATGACGTGCTTACGTCCACATCCTGTGCTGTCATGTGTAATATCGGACTTATCTTGAGTAATATGTATACAAATATTTTTGCCCGTATTCTATTAGTTAAAAGTTTAGAAAAAGAATATGTGTCTATAATTAAAAATTGTACTCGGTTGTGATTTGTGTCTCGACAAATCCAATTGTTTCTTGATTCTTTCAGGGAGAAGTGGAAGAGGAGAAGCTAGATTCCTATGATGTGCACTTCTACGCACCTTCCGAGGATGAAATGGAGCGCGAGATCGAGAGAGAGGGGTTGTTCCGATTGGACCGCTTCGAGACGTTCGAACTTGAGAGGGACGAGAGAGATGGTGTGAGCTACGGAACAGCGGTGGCAACCACTGTCAGGGCCATCCAGGAGTCCATGATCTCTCACCACTTTGGTGAAGGGATTCTGGACTGCTTATTTGAGAACTACGCAAGAATCTTAGATGAAGAAGCGGCCAGAGAAGAGATCAGGCCTGTCACTTTCCTTTTGGCACTCACAAAATTATGACTGCGCTTCAGTAACGCAGGCAAACACTCGCCTCGACAGATCGGGTCCATCGCAGCCGTCAATCACGCCGTTCCAATAGAATCCAGTCATCTGCGAAAGCATGTAGTCTGTAGACCCGGATCGAGGAATCGTCTGGTAGCATAAGAGACCCAGAATCTAGGAACTAGTTATTGTTTTGTGCTTTCTGCTGTACTCCATCACTACCCAGTACTCTTGCATCAGGAATTTAGGAATCTCATGAAGCTCCAATTGCGTGTGCATGAAATCTCACTCTCTATTTTTCTTCAGCTCTTTTGCATTCCTTTCTTCTTCCCTTTTTTTGTGCAAGTTGAATGAAGATCTCATAACCCAAAACTCACCACAGCGCGAACTTCTTCTCCAGCGTCACAAAGGTTCAGTCAATCACAGATGCATCTGTTAATAACACTAATTAGCAAACCTAATTTCCTCAAAGACCTGTTCAGAACCCAATTAGCAAAACTTACTGCATCTTCCACTCTCGATCGGTTGATTGCACTTTTGAAAGTTTGACAGTTAGCAGAAGGCTGATCGGTTGCGTTCCAACCAAATGCACCATAAAATAACACTAATTTCCTCAAAGACCTGTTCAGGTTCCTGCTTATCACAGAAGTCAGGTCAACTTTCTTGATAAATACAATTTGCAATCTCAGACTTCTACAATTTAGCTTCTCAGATAACTAAATGAATTTTCTCTATTTGTAGCTTTTTTCAAGAAATGTGTTGCAATAGGTAAGCAAGATCATGATTAGAAAACCTTAAGATCATTCTATATATATAATTTATAATGGTAATATAGAATGGTAATACTAAAGTTATTATGCCAATTCAAAGATTATTCCGTATATTTTGCATTTAATTAGTGCTTTTACCATTCAAGTTACACGGAGCAATTAACTTTATAAGTTACTGTCATTTTAAAACGAGCACTGCTAAACAAATGTAAATTACTGCACAATTTAATTTAGAAGCTAAACATGAGGAACTACGTTTAAAGCTTCTTGCTGAGAGCATCAATTTACCCTCCATCCCACGATCGATCGTCTTCATCTAAATATTGTCCTGCAATGAATTAAATTAATCAAACGGGATAAGTGCTTCCTAAAATTTTTCACGAAAGTATAATTGAGTTCTAAAATTTTCAAAAAGTACAATTAAGTCCTAAAACTTATTACCAAAGTCCAGTTGAGTCTAAAAACTTTCAAAAAGTGCAATCAAATTATAAAACTTGTCAAATTGATTCAGTCACATAATTGCATTTTCATGACAATTTTAGAACTTCCATGCACTTATCCCTAATAAAATAGCAATGATTGGATTTCGCATGATTGGTGGATTTGGATTTGAGACCTCATGTTGCTCTTGCATGTGGAACAACTTTTTAATTTTCAACATGATTGAATATGTCAAGGTTTGCTCTCTACCTTCCTAAAAAAATCCCTAATTTGGTTACAAGATTCCAAGCCAAACATCCAATTACCACATCATTAAGATAACCCTCTTCATTACATCTCCAAATTTACATCCAAAACGTTCAAATTCGCCCCGAATTATTTCCCATATGATTTATCGATTATTTGATGTTTAGTTGTGTATCTCAACTTGTTTATGGCTTTATCATGGTGTTTAGATAAAAAAAAAATCCTTTTTTGAATTTTCCTATTTATATTTTTTTAATTATTAGATTCTTTTTCTAATTTTTTGCAATATTTCGAGCCGGTCTAATCCTTTTTCGGCCTAAGCTACACATGATTAATATCTTCGACTCGCCCAGGAAAAAATTACAAAAAAAAAAGTCCAAATCCCAACAAAGCCTTTCTAGGCTTGCAAAAATCAGTTTAGGGTAGACCCAATTTTTAAATCGGACCAAACTGGCCGATTTGACCAAAAACCGGTTGGTCGTTCAATCTGGTTCCTATTACCATAATGTCTCAACATCAAACTAGTCAAATACCAATTTTGGCCCACTTTTTCATATTCAATCCATACTATTAACATATTGTGGCTCGATCATTTGGTATTTAATGGCGTATTTCAAATTGTTTGTGATTTTATTATCGTGTCTAGATAATTTTTTCTATTCATACCATTTTCAGTTTTTAAAATACTTCGAACTGGTTCGAGCTTTTTAAGCACAACCTACTCATCATCAATGGCCTGGACTTGCCCAAGAAAAAAATATGAGAAGGCCCAAAGTCCGACCATGCCTTTCCAAGCTTGAAAAGAATCAGTCCCAGCCAGAGCATTTTTTTTTTTTAAATCGGATCAACCGGGCCGGTTCAATCAAATACCGGTTCGTCACTCGATCTGGTTCATATTATCATATGCTAGAGCGTCAAACCAGTATTTCGACCCTTTTTTTTCAAATTCTACCCATATTACCATATCATTTCTCGATGATTCGATATTTATTGTACCTCTAAAACATCAAACACGTCAAAAATCAGTTTTAACCCGGATCAACTGTCAAGCCGGTCTAACCGATGTCGAATTCAATCGGATCTGCACAATTGAAAATCTAAAACGATTAATTGAGAAAGGAGAGATTCGAACCTTAACCTATCATAGCACGCTCCAAGCCGTTCAACCAGCCGTTGAAGCACCCCGTCCTGTCTCCTAGAAGCAAAAGTTGAACTTCAAGAAAAGGATGAACGAAATGCTCAAATTCTCAACTTTTACATCGGTAAATCCGCATCTCTGAGAAGATTTATGTCCATCGAGATTATCTTCGTGCATATAAAAGTGAACTTACTAATTTAAACGGTTTAGGTTGAACCGGTTGAACTGCATACTATAGGCTAGTCTATTTAGGGGTGAGCATAGTTCCAGAGTAAAACCTGATAACCGGATCCGTGGGAACCTATCCAGCTCTAGATTCTAAGATATGCAGGGTAGGTTCCAGGTTCCAAAAACAGGGTAACTTGTTTCGACGAGTAGGTTTCAAGTTCTAAGGTAGGTGGAACCTGGAACCTATAACGAGTTTTTGTATTTTTCTTGATCTATGTCTTCGCATGATCCTACAGTATTTCATGACGTCTAGTGATGAGTGTATAATCTAGAAGCTCATATTTGTGGTTTCAGGTTCCACTTTATGATTGAGATTTTTACTTTGTTATTTTTTTTTATATTTTCTGTGTGTCTAAATATAAGTTGTGGTTAGTAAATTGTAGCAGTAAGTGCTGGTCATTAAAGGTGATGATTCACTATAATCGTTCAATTAATAATACAGGTGGAACATGAGTAGACCCTGGAACTGACCATGGAACCTGTGACAGGGTAAGTTCCAGATTCCAAGAAATGAGAAATTTATTTCAACGGGTAAGTTCTAAGTTCTATATGGAACTTGGATTGCTCACTCCTAAGTCTATTATAGCCAATGGTACGATTTTTAATATACTGGGTCGGACTAGATTTTCGAACTTGTGGATTTTCTTTTTGACATCCCTAATATCAGTTGGGCACCCCTAATAGCATCATAAGTGAGATTAGCATATAGGAAATCGACATGTATTGTTCTCTTTTTGTCCAACTAGATATTTAGCTGTACGTGCTAGCAATTCGACAAAAGGATTCCATTCTAAAATTCTATCAAATTATAGAAATTCTATTGAATTATATTTATATTAAGTAATCCAAATATTAACTAATCCAAATTTTATTAAATATTAAATTAAATAATAAACTATAGTAATTGTACATGCTCCCATAGCAATAACGTATTTTGGTTCAAGCAGGGCTTGGTGTCATTATGTTAATAAAAAGTGGCTCGGTGGCATTTCTTTTGTAATTCCTTATATAAGGATTTAGAAAATACCGGATCTCCATTAATCCTCTTATACCCTAAGTTAAGGATATTGTTTTCACAGTGTCAATGTCGGCCCAGCAAAGTTCTTTCACTGCCCTTTACCATTCCATAGAAATGGGCTATTCTATTTATACAGATATGGGAGCCAATAAATAAAGTCAGAATTAAGTTAAGGAACGACAATAGTGACCATGTCTTGGGGCTAACGTGGGATTTGTTCAAGGATCTACTAGTTTAGGTAAATATCTAATGTGTTCCCCTACATTACGAGTGGGCATTTTACCAGAAGTCTATATTGTATCAATTTACCCTTGTAACCCCGAGTAATAGAAAAATGGAACATCCGACAGTGTACAAATGGGCTTTCTAGAGACCCCCGACCAATTCTCGCATGAATTACTATCCCCCTCTTACAAAGACTACAGAATGTAGTAACTTTTCGGAAAAGTACATGAACAATTTCTTCACTAAAAATTACCCACGAATAATTTTGAATTCTGAACAAGATTATAGAGACCCCTAGCGATATTACCCTTAAGTATATCTCGAAATCTCCTCGAAGAACTCGGTAAATCACACAAGACAAGATAGGAGATTTCTTTTTTTAGTCGTTAAAAAAATCCTATTAATGGAGAAAGCTAATTACAATATGTGAAATATGTTAAAAAAATTTCTCCCTGTAGCAACAAAATGATAAAATACACATATAATAAAAAAATAAAAAGAAGAAGCAAGTGGGGAAGAAATATATAAGAATCCCTCATTAAACAAAATAATCGGCCTGACCCGCAATTTATCTATGGTGGAAGTAATGATTACGCCCCAATGTTAGTGACAAAAGAGCAAGAAAAGTGCCATTAACATGCTAAAGAAGTTTGGCACTCTTATTATAATCAAGCAATCAAAAAAAAATTAATTAATTCTCGAAGAATCTGCTCCGTTCGAAGATGGAAAAGGCAAAAGTGACTTTTTGTTCGAGTTGCTTTCAGCTGAAGACAGATCAAAGTGCACATTAATGACAAAAAATAATTAATTAATAGAGGTCTTAATGTCGAGGGAAAAAATCACAAAACATCTTAAATTATGTTCAGTGTGACATATTTATCATAATAAAAAAATCCCAAACTTGTCTGTACGTGACACATTTACGTCGGACGATTTTTCAGATCAAGGTTTCGTTGGATGGTTTTTCAGTCCAAATGGCGTCATGTTTCTCACTTAAATCACGTGGGCGTCGTATCAACGCTTTCCAGTGTCCATGTAGGCGACTTTATGACGGTTCTCATTGAAAGAATTTTGACGGAGGGAAATGTGTCACACGAGTCCATAATTGGATTTTTTTGTATCATACAAAAAAATTTAGGATAAATGTGCTGCGATAGGTATAATTTAGGGTTTTTTTGTAACTTTTGTCCTGATGCTCATAAAAAGTTCATGGCTTTTCTCATGCTATTTTCTCTAGGG